AAATTACGATGAATTACAAAATGTAGAAGTAGAACTATAACTTCTTCAGACTCACAGGTATACAAAATCTTAAGGCATGTTACTGTTTTGAAATATTTTGTGTTCCCAAAATTGTCAAAACATCATTCTACATTCTGGAAGAAATCAGCCCTTAGTTGCGGTTTTACCGCTTGTTTAATTCAGAGAAAGTCAGTGTGATGCATGAAGTGAAATTTATGCAGTAAACTTTCAAAATTACTGGTACACTGACCTTAAATTTTCTAAAAGAAAACATTAGTATTCAAACCAACAGGTCCTAAAAATGATAAACACGACTCACTCGCACCCGAGACCCTCGTTCATGCATAGTGTCTCAATTTATGATAAAAAACACTCAGAATGATACCACCAAGTGGTTGGAATGAATTCGCTTTAGTCAATAATGTCATTTTACTATATATCCCTGGTACGTTCCCAAAATGTAAAAGCAGAAGGGATGAAATTATTAATTTATTTCAGGATTTCATCATGAGCTGACATCAGTTAGAGAACCACTGGAAAACCTGCAGGGAGTACTGTACAGCTGTTTCGTCCTAGTTTGGGACTCTTCCAGTGGTTCTCTAACTAATGTCAGCTCATGATGAAATCCTGAAACCAGTCAAATCCCTACAAACCAACACTTAAATATTAATTTGTTATTAATAAATGTTCAATCAGTTATCTTGATATAGTTCCCATACAGACTGTGATCAATATCCCTTACAATAATATATCTCTACAATATGGTTCTTCATAACGGAACTTAGATGTCTAGACTCTCTTCAAAGTGAATTGTTCTCACTACTTTTAGTTTTAAGAAGGCGATTAGTCTACTACATTTACTTAAATATTATTCTGTATAGAAGCAATAACGGTAAAACCCTTTCTGAATAACTGAAGTAATTTATAAAATCATTCTTTTAACCCTACGTTTAAATTTTAATGAAACACATCGATATTATTGAAGTTTGTCAAATAAAGCTTAAAATAAACACCTTGAACTTTTATCAGTAATTTTCAAGCATTAGTTTGCAGAGATTTTGGTTGATTCCAAGTTTAGTCACGATATGACACCAGTTAGAAAATCACTGAAAACCACGTCACTGTGAACATCCACTTCATCTTGATTCGGGACTCTTCATCAGTTAGCCCCTATGACTTCAGACAAGAATGAGCCGAGGATCTTCATGTCACGAGACTAGTCCATAAGTTCGGACTACTACCAACTCACGATGTATAGCAACAGTATTTGTTGGGAGACCCCAGCTTTTCAAGGCTTCTCACTAGAACTTCAAGTAACTTCATCACGTAATCGTCAGTAGTGAGCAAGTGCTAGTTTGTAGGGATTCTGACTTACCCTTTTACAAACTGGTATTCGTCAAATGACCAATATCATATATATGGATGATTTTACAAAGAAGTTACTGTTTCGATACAACTTTAAAAGATAACTTGTCTTAACTAGTCACAAAAAAGAAAAATAACTCCATCATACGCCATGAAATTTTTAACACTAATACTGCTTTAATATGAGAATAACAGTTTATAAAAAAAGTATAAGTCCGTGCTTAAAATATTACACTTTTAAAGCTGATGTCACATATTTCTTTAGCAATTTTAGTACTTAAAATAGTGACAATTTACAATCAATCACGTGGTAGGAGAATCATAAAATTAATTCAAACTTTAAAGGAGAATGTACTATAATCATTATCAGCACGCAGGGTGAAAAGTGATGCCTGAAAAGATGCCTCCTATCCGGTTCACGCATAATCTTTAATGAATTTTCGATTTTCAAAATAAAAAAATTGTGATTAGTTGGAGTTATTTAAATAAGAGAAATAGAAACAGAGGACAATACGAAAACTTTAAAAAAATACTTTGATATATCTGAGTCTCTTAGACAGGAGCAGTACTTCAAATGGTACTAACGGCTACTAGACTTCGATTCCAAGTATTTTTTAATGATTAACTTAAACAATATAGTGCAAGACATTCAATTAAATATTTAAGAAATCCCTACAAACCAACACTTGAATATCAATGGGATGTTCACTAGCCACTTGCCCTATTCAGGTAGGTAGTTATCTGGGGTTCTACTGAGAAGTCGTGACCAGTAGGGTGCAGCAGGTCAGGTGTGAGGACAAATACTCGCCGGAGACATTAGCTAGGGGTTGCGCTATGTCATGAATTGGCAGAAGTTAGAATTCATAGGCTGGTAATTGGATCAGGTCCCAGTGGCTTAATGGTATACGAGCTCGCCTTGTTACCAGAAGGTCATGGGCTGGAACACTAGAGGTGGGTGCATACTGCTGAAGAGTCCCAAACTAGGACGAAACAGCTGTCCAGTACTCCCTGCAGGTATTCCAATGGTTCTCTAACTAATGTCAGCTCATGATGAAATCCTGTAAGCAATCAGTCAAATCCCTACAAACCAACACTTGAAAGCCCAATTATATTTATATACTACAGAGACTCATTTGTAGACAAAGGTACAAATAAACAGAGATAAAATGTTTCTGAATTAAACACTGGAAGTCCCTAAGAGAAAATCTTTTCCAAAAAGAATACTTATTTCTAGAAAGCGGAAGATTACCACCATCTTCCCTCTAAGTTGACTTCAAACTGAATACTGAATAAAACAACCTAACTATTGTGCGTCAGTGGCACAGCGGTAGAATGCACACTGACCATGCATATGGCCCAGGGTTTGGTCTTTGGCCACCGACGCATTCCCTCATCTCACCTCGCTAAACCAGTAATAGCGCTGGTGAAGAGCGGAGGTTGGGCATGAGGCTAGCAACTCCATCCACTGCTACTGAAATTTCAAGTCCGTAGCGTGAAGCCCTATCATCTACTGGGAGCGTGAAGGAATAAAAAAATCTATTCGAAAGACCTTTGGGTAAAATTGACCTACTTCAAAATGAAATGGTAATTTATAAACGAAACTTAAATGTGTACAAAGCATTCTGATAGCCTCACTTTTTTCTACACTGTTTAAATTTAGACAAAGTGGAATTATTTTTTGTTGTTTTTGATACCATAGACCTGAAGTTACAAAAACTGATAAAAATAAATGTTATCCAAGAAATGGTGCAAAATTACAGTCTATTCCACATCAAATCTAAATTGTTTATATGATTTCTTGATTTAAAACGTTCAACTACTAACTCGCAAGTTAGTGTTTTAAAAACAATGAAATATGAAACATTCTTTTATAAATAAAAATACTAAAACCATGAAACAATTTATTATAAAAGTTATGCATGGAAAGTTGCCAAGAATTTCATATATGCCCTATATTACTTCACAAACTTCTGACTATATTCGTATGGTCATAAGAACTAAAAGATCCAGAATCTATCATTGACAATACCATTGTAAGTAAGCCGATGCATTTAACTGAAATTCACCTGTGTAATCCTTGAATAAAACAGTGCCTTTAATTTCACACCTAGAATGACTTTAATTAGGTCCTGAAAGATAAGAAATTGTGAGCACACTACTATTGCTATGCTTTCGAGTGTTTTGTGAAGAACGCATACGCTCTACTGAAAATTTGTTTTATCTTCTACTGAACCACTTCGGTGGAAAATAAACTCTTTGACATACTAGTTTTATCTCGGAAACTTTAGGCTTTTCAGTGTCTAGATTAGGATGGAGGTTCAGGTCCGTACCTGATATCATAATTGTCGGTAAAACCCAAGTAATGCTTTCTTCCGTCTGCAAAAAATTTAAGCTTACTTTCAACTAACTATAACTTCCTGAACCTTCGTTCATAAAAAAATTTAGAAGACTATTTGATCCTACATACTTTTTGTCAAAGAGTGTAAAGGAAACTCTGTTGAAAGGCATACTAAACCTAAATGAGGAGGTGCATAAAATGAATTTCATGACTTTTGGAACTGATCATCAAAACGCATCTACAGCTTTGAAAGAAAACTCCATGTTCTCTTAACAATTACCTTGTGAACTAAAGTATACACTGACGAACTTTACTGCAAAGTTATTTAGGTTAATTTTCAAAATACAGTCTCGATAGATAGAACGTGAAATAACGCATTTAAAACACGGAATAGCTACAAAACTTTTTTCCTGACAAAATATGAATAGGTTAATATTTGATAAACTCGCAATATCATAGATTACGTCTCATAAAGATATGATCACATATCGTCTTTTCTTATCATAATTACTACGAATAATTGAGATTTGTTTAAACAACGATATTTTAAAAAAAAAAGTTAAAACAAATTTTAGTTCAGTAAAACCATTTTTCGAGAGAAAAAAAACAGGTCTGAAAGAAAATTGTTTAGTGAGCGAAAACTTGACAGAATAGAATAACTTATTACCTCATTTTACTTCTTCACATTTTTCTAATTAACAACATTTCAGTCTTGTATGACATTAATACAAGGCAGGGTAGAAAGAGAATTTCCATCTCGTAATTACTATCCTACTTTCATTCACCTCACCATCATCCTCATCAACATCATTATTTAGCTGTTTCTTCTGAATAGAAAATTATCATTCACTATACAGAGAAAATCATCCAACATCATGAGAAAACTTTAGACAACAGTGTCCTTATTTTCTCTTCTTAAAACAACGAACACTTAGACAGAGACCTTTCTATCAAACTTTCTTCTTTCTTTCTTTTTTTTATTATGATTGATTGTTTGGTCAAAGTCAATTTGCTAACTATTATCATAGAATAGAAATGTTTTCAAAACACAACAACTATGCAACACATAGAGAAGCCAGATTATTTGTCTCCTTACTTACTTCACTCCCATGAGATAACTTATAACTTCTTTGGAAATTTTGACATAATATGCCAAATTGGTTGGATCATCAAACTAATTCCCGTATTGATTTATGATATTTCTACGAGGAGATCTGAAATCACTAAAAAAATATTTGAGCATTTAATTGTAACTCATTTAATTTTTCTGTTTTTTTTTTCTTTTCTTCTTAGGATTATGGTTGCTGATTCGTCGTTTATTCCATCACCAATAGTTAGAAGCAAAAGTTCATGGAGTATTTCAGTACCATCAAACAAAAACACTGAACTTACTCGTGGATACACACGAATATGGCCCTGTAATGTTAAACTTTCAAGATACCAAACACTGACACATCCTAGCAATTATTATAATTATGCAAGGTTAGATTTTGCTTCTATTTTCAATTTTATCAAGTTTTGAAGTAATCTGATGGGTGATGACTAGTAGAACGCACATTTCGTCCTATGGAGGACTCGTCAGCTAAGCGTGCCTGCATTGAATTAAAAAAACGTTCTAGAGGTTTTTTTCCTGCTGTTTTAAAGTTGTTCATAAGTCCTTTTCCCTACTAACAAGACGTTGCAAATAAAATTGCATTTCTGAACTATGTTTCACAAGATATCAACACCAAGTTACTTCCTTCATCTGAACATGTTAAATCGTTGTTGTTAAGTTCCTTTTTTATTGTAAATGTATTTATCTTTTGAAATTAACTTTAGTAAAATCTGCAACCTTGAATCGAATTCTGACGACAACTCAATTCACATAATTTGCCTTTTAACCACATCACTTGTTGGTGTATGCTTTAAAAATATTCCTAGAACGATTTACAGTAGTGTCTAAGCTTCAGATATGATGGGTTACAAGTATAAGAGTTTGGAATGTACATTTAAGATGTTTTTCATAGCTTAATATAACCTAGATACAAAACAAAACCTAGAAAATGTTTATTACATCGAAATTTCATCATGTTAATTCTTGACAACTAGTACTGCGTTCATTTATGCTATTAGATGGTTGGAGGCAATCGACAGGAAGCGTTCCAACTAGATTTCGGGCTATTTGGTACTTACCAGTCAACAAGGTATCCGTAACCTCGAAAGAACTCATGTCCCTTCTGAGATTCGAATCCGCATCTGCCAGTGCCGTCTGCAGTCATAGACGTTACCACTGAGGTGTTCGGGCTCGCGATTAACTTCCTGTTGGAATATATTGGATATTTTTGATTGTACACTAGTCAGTAACTAGTGTAATATGTCTAGTCCTAACTTCAGTACAGACTGAGTTCTATCAGTGAAGCTTGCAGTGTGGCCACTATGCTGGGTGGCTTGCCATCACGGTGCACTGTGAATTGTTGGTATTAGATGGCCTTGTTGATGAGTCCCAACTAGCACGAAACCTAGGTCCGAGGCTTCCTGTCGATTGCCCCTAACCATCTATTACCAGCAATTCACAGCGCACTGTAATAGTGAGATACCTGCAAGCTTGACTGAGAGAATTCAGTCTGGACCAAAGACGGGACTAGACACATTGCACCATTTACTGACTAGTGTGCAATCAAAAGTACTGCGTTTAATTAATGGCATTTTATCATGATGTACTAAAACTGAACTTAAATAATTTCTCAGCATTTACAGCCCTTACAATTTCATTCATTCAAATATATACAAATCTACAAAATCGATAGTCGTTTAGAAATCTAATCTTCAGTTATTATCTTGTAGTACATTACGATTCTAGATAATTATTAGGTGCCTGATACTTAGACCAGTCTACAATTAACAGACATATTATTATAGATCATATTTATGAGACAATAGAAATCAAATCACGTATACGAAAGTTAAAATATCAGATCGACGAAAAGACTAACGCCAATAGCAAAGAACACTATGACAAGTCAAACAAACCGAGCAGTAGTACTAAGTAGTACAACAGAAAAACTAAAAGTAATGAAATGACGCTGACGGAAGAAGCGTTGGTTTTAGATAACTAACCTATAAAATTCATTAGGGATATCAAAATAGGTCAAAAGCAAAATTTAAAAAAAACGATGAAACTAATGATCGTAATATAAATAAGAAAGAATATAAGGCATTTACTTTTTATCATATAAGGAGGGGACATTTGATACCCTACGTAGGATTCTCAACAAAGCAGGGATTAGGGTGGCTTCCAAATCTACAAACTCACTCAGAGACAAGCTCTCTTGGCTAAAAGACCCTATTGGTAATAATAATAATAAATAATATAATTTACAGAATCCTTTTCAATGATTGTGAGTTAGGTCAACCACATATATCAAGCTAGTTAGATCAGGAAGGAGTAGTCAGATTATCAGAACATAATAATATAGAGAAGGTTAGAATGACTGATCCCACAAAGATAAGTAATTTAAGAAAAAGCTCAGCAATCGCACTGCATGCATTGACACATAACCAAACAACAGGGTGGGTGGGACAGAGTCAAAATTCTAAAAAGTAATGTACGTAGATGGAGAGGGAGATTGATTGCTGAATCTTGGTTCATCGAGTCTACACCCAATACATGCAACAGAAATGAGTCAATGCGAATGCCAGATATATGGAGGACATTATTATACTACAAGTCAAATCATAGAATAATAAATAATGTTAAAATGTATTCAATTCACATTATAACATTCTAACAAGTTACTTATTGTGACTATAAAAACATCTTATTTTCCGTCTTATTGTATTTTATTTATTACGCTAATATTATTTCCGAATTTATTTTTTTCCTTCCCGTTCCCCAGTGGAACATAGGGCTTCAAGTTAGTGGCTTGATGTTTCTGTAGTAGTGTTTATTTTACAGGATGGGGTTACTAGTCTCATAGCCAACCTTTCCTCTGTATAAGCATTATTTCTGGCTTAGCGAGTTACAGGAGTGCGTCGGCCGGGGATCGAACCCCGGACCATGTACATGGTCGGCGAGCGTGTTGACCGCTATGCCACCGACGCCATTTCCGAATTCACTTTATCTTATATTGATTTTATTCAAATGCCTAATCAATTTTTACTCATGTATATAAATGAAGGAAGAAGGTTGTGTGAGTGACCTGATATGATTATGAGCAGTAATAAATTCTGCTCGAAACGTGATCGTCAGTAAATGTTACTGTATAATAGTATGATATAGCTTAGAGAAGGCACAGACTTAAAGAGATATGGCTAAATTAAAACTTACTGTGTTATAAAATTAAATTATCAAATCCACAAAAATATTTTGCACTTCTTGGCTTATACGATGTATTACAATCAGTTTCCCTCATAAACAACAACTTCTAGTTAAGATAGCACTAAGAAGTAGTGCAATATCATATATGAGACCAAAAATCAACACCTCTTTAAATATTACTGATTATCTTGGCTTGAAACAGTCATATGTACAAGGTTATGAGACAGGTGGAAATTGCATACTCATCTGGAAATGAACAACCCAGAAACAATCATTCGCCTTAGTTATGGTATGCAATATCCCAATAGATAAATTAAATACATTTTTAACAATTTCCATCGAAGTACCTCTGAATCATCGTATAAATAACTTAGTCTTTTAGGTTTTGTGATAGTCCATTGTCAGCATCCACTAAATAATAATAATGGTACTCACTTTATTCCAAACAAACTTTTTTGAACATTCACAGTCAGGCTGAAAACTAGAAGGATTAGTAGCTTTTTCACGGTTTCATTCACTATTAGCTGTAAGTTTTTTTCTAAAAAATACCGCCTAAACTTAGTACTTTATAGAGCTTATGTTTCGTTAACTTTTGTATTACGAAACGCGGTTTCTATTTCTTTGTATTTACTAAGATTATAATTCTTCATTACTGCTGTTTATTGATTAAAACCTACTGACCAGAAAAAAGGCTACCTTGTCGAAATTCCAAAGAAAGGTAACTTAAGCCTATGTATGAACTTGGACAGAACCATTCTCTTGTCCACTCGAAGCAAAATATTAAGTCAAATCATCCTGCAGAGACCAAGCAGTAATGTGAATGGATGACAGGATAAGTCTGAAAGAAGTCGTCCTTTTTCAATTACCTCACCAACATTGTTACGACTACAGGCAGAATGGATGAGGATTTCAAAGCCAGACAGGATTGAACAAACGAGACAGGTATTCATAGCTCTGAAATTGGTATGGAAATCTACACCACTCAGTACAAAGAACAGGATCGGGATTTGTAACATTAATGTCAAGTTAGTGCTTCTATATGGGTTAAAGGCTTGGCGTGCGAGTTATGAAAATCGCTCCTAATAGCCCACTGCAGACTTTTATCAAAAGATTCCATCACCCGATACTGAAGATTAAATAGCTGACCACAAAGGACGAGTAACAAAGTGTTCTGGCAATGCAGCAAACCAACCACGAATCTTTTACTGAACAAATATGCAGAAAGAAATGGAAACGAATTAGACGTATGCTGAGTAAACCTTCTAACGACATCGCACTCCAGGCTACTGCGTAGGACCCAAACCGGTAATCGTGGAGTCAGATGGAATTGAAAGAAAATCTAGTGCAAAAGAGATGTACTGCTTAAGCCCTACATTCCACTTAGAACCCAAGGGATGAATAACAGTAATAATAATAACAATAGATCCGCATCAAACATCCATTCTAATGAGAGGACACTGAAACTTACGGTTGACTTTCTCCAATTACTTACTGATTTTCTAAACTTTGATTTGAGGTTTTTCTTTGTAGTGAGTTTACAATGAAATAAGCAAACCAGAAAAAGAAACCATGTTACTGTACAAAAAGACATTCCGGGGATTTCAAATAACAGATGTTTACTATGAAGGCTATGTACGATTTCATTCCATAGGTTCAATTATATGAAGTACTTAGTAACAAATAAAATTCTAACTTCCGCCAATTCACGACATAGTGAGACCCCTAGCCAATGTCTTCGGAGGGTGTGAGGACAAATACTCACCGAAGACATTGGCTAGGGGTCGCGCTATGTCGTGAATTGGCAGAAGTTAGAATTCATAGGCTGGTAATTGGATCAGGTCCCAGTGGCTTAATGGTATACGAGCTCGCCTTGTTACCAGAAGGTCATGGGCTGGAACACTAGAGGTGGGTGCATACTGCTGAAGAGTCCCAAACTAGGACGAAACAGCTGTCCAGTACTCCCTGCAGGTATTCCAATGGTTCTCTAACTGATGTCAGCTCAAGATGAAATCCTGTAAGCAATCAATCAAATCCCTACAAACCAACACTTGAAATAAAACATATGTCGGATTTCTAAAGCCGGTGAATATGGCAGTTAAGTATCTTGTCGTTCAGCTTCAAAAATGTCATCCTTCAGAGCAAAAAGTAATATATGACCTAATAAAATCAGTGCATGTTTTCCTCT